CCACCCACCGCCGCCTAAATCGCCGGAAAATGCTCCCTTCACCGGTGAGTTTAACCACAAATTGGTCTGGTTTCCTATAGCATTCCCTGCTGTATTGGTATGGTTTTATATAGTTGCTTTATTATTTGACTGTTCTGACTTTTGATTTCTCCTGTACAACGGTCATTTTGGTCATTCAAAAATTGGTGGTCAACCGGACCGATCATCCGGTTTGACAGAAATTTTTGACGTTTTTCATCTCTATAAATACCAACTCTCTTATCATTTATTATAACAACTTTAGAGCAATTGAGTTTCTTGTGAGTTAAAATTGCATTGATTTCTCACCTCATTTATTATTATCAAATCATTCTAACTTTTAAAAACTTTTAATTGATCTCAACTTTGAAAATCATTCCATTCATCAAAGTTTTTCAAAGCTAACTCTTGAGCTTCATTCATTGCTATCTATCAAATTGTTAGCCTACTTCTCTTCTTGTACTTAACTTTGGATTTATCATTCATTAAGAAGATAATATTTCACTTGTACATTCATTTGAATTGTGGGTCGTGTTGAGGTCTCGAAAAGCTCAACGTTGTAAAATGATCGGTGCTCCTTGCTTGTAAGTCACTGAAAGCTTTGTGAATAGTTGAATTGCATCACAAGTCAATCAATATAGTGAAATTGGCTTTACTTGTATCGGAGAGCTTGGTAACGGAGGACGTAGATCATTACGTTGGATTGAACCTCCATAATTATATCGTTTGCACTCTCTATCCACTACAACAAAAAAGGGCTTTGACAACATTTATTGATTAGATGTTGTTAAAAAGGTCCATTGCAATGTTTGTGTGGGTGAATGTTGCAAAAAGTGTCATTTTGCAACGTTTTTCAAATGAACGGCGAAAAGTGACATTTTGCGCAACGTTCGCGCAAAATGTCACTTTTCACAACGTTCACTGAACGTTGCCAAAATCACCACTTTTCACAACGTTTGAAAGACTTTGCAAAAGTGACACTTTTCGCAACGTTAAGTCGTTCATTTGAAAAACGTTGCAAAATGTCAATTTTTTTTAATTAAAAACGACGTCGTACTGCCCACTATATAAACAAAAAACATGAAAGAAACCCTAGCCCATTTATCTTACCTCTATCTCGCCCATGGTTTCTTCCTCTACCAAGAAAGGAATTGCCATTCCAATGTCACCTCCACCGCCACCTATTCAGTATTGCAGCTGTTCTTCCCCTCCTCATCGCTGCGATCTATGTACTCTGGCCCTCGGACCATATCATTTCCCTCTTCGGTCGACTTTTCCCAAATCCCAACTGCAATTAGCTCTTGCGACTTCAACGGCGGCGAAGGTGAGGTGCCTTCAAGTCTTCGACGATCGACCTACAGCACCTGCTTCCAGACTTCCAGTTCCAGTTCCGCGTTGGCTCGTTGCTTCCCGACTT